AAAAAAAAAAAAAAAAAAAAAAAAGTTAAGGACTCAAGATACAGAAAGGTTAAATCACCCACCAATGCCACCACTCCTACAGGAAGGTACCCCCTTCCCTTTTTTGCCACGTTAAACCAACAGCACACCGGGGCCTGGCGGCCTTCCACTGCGTGCCCAGCTTTGCCGAACCGCCAGCTTGGCACTTTTGTTCTTTTTTGCTGGCGACGCCAGCCATTGTGGTCCAGTAGCCCCAAGCCTCCAAAATTTTCATAGGCGATGAAGGCTGGGGCCATGTACTCGCAGTTTAATACAGTACCACGATACTGTTACATCTGTGCAAAGGGTGAGTGGTGCAGACCATGAGATGATCTGCGTCGGAAGCTGTACTATATGTATCAGGGCCATGAAAGACAGGGGTGCTGGCATCAGGACAAAATGTTTTAGAGTAGGATGAAAACAATGTTCAGAATCAACTTTGTACAGTACAGGGACGCTGGACCCGCTTCCCAGCAAGTGCAGCTCCCCACTAATGGACGGAGCCTTCTCAACGCTGGCAGGTGTCTCTCAGAACCCTTTTTCTGATTCTCTCCCAAAAAAAAAAAGAAAAAAAAAAGACGGAGCCCTCTCATCTGGGGAGCACTTGCAGGGGATCCTCTTATCACTTCCGCAAGTGACAACACCATCACAGAGGTTTCGTTCAAAAAAAAAAGAAAAAAGAAAAAAGAATCACACTAAGGCACCCCCCTTTAAACCCCTTTCGCCCCTTAGAAACCAATTTATACCCCCCCTCCTCCCTCCCCCCTCCCTTGACAGCCAACGCTCGAAAAAAGAAAGCAGCCCGGATTTTGGCTCCTCTGGCCATCTTCCGAAAACCTCCACCCCAAAAAATACAAAATAGAAACAAGGGCCTGATTTTTGCCTGCGCAGGGCAACCCCCGTGCAGGTGACCCCCGGGTGACTTGCCTGCTTGCTGCACCGCTGGGGGAGACAAGTAGCCCAGATTCGAACCACATACCTCTTCCACAAGTGCCTCAGGGAGCAGAGAATCTTTACAGATATGTATGTCCACGATGTAGCGTAGGAGTGTCTTGTCCTTAGCGATAGGTTCGAGGCTCCACTTGCCCTGGAATGAGTCGAAGTCTCCTTCAACAAGTCGGAACACGATCTCTTTCAGCGGCTTTTCCACGACGTCGAGAATGACACGAGCATGCAAAACCATGTACATCAAACACTTGAACCCAATCTGTGGCCAAAAAAAAAAAAAAAAAAACAGGAACAGAAACACACATAAATTGGATGTGTTAATCACCCCCTCAATGCGGTGCTCGTCTTTTTTTTTTTTTTTTTTTTAATACTAAATGTCTAAATAGATAATATGGACCTTTTAGTTTTTAATGGATCTTATCATTGTTATGATATTAATATTATTAATATTTTTTCAAATAATTCCATCGCCCATGTCTTCCTAGCAAAGAGGCATCAAAAGATTCAAAACTCGTGAATTTTATTATTTTTCTCTTGTGGAGCATTTGCTGCATTTCTCAATTTATGCATGTCATCCTTGCACAGCGGCCAAGCTAATCTTCTTTATTTGTATCGTCCTAGTTTTGAACCACCAGTACCTACCGCATTTTTCATACCCCCCCCAGTCGAATGAATCTGGACCCGAGGGACAGACCGATTCGGCTACTGCATTAATGACCGCCACAACCCGTAGGTACTGGTGGCCTAAGAGATGTCCCGAATGCATTCACACTCCGATTATTTACACTTGTCTTGCATGCAAGCAGCGATACAGCAACTGGCGACATGCGCCCTGACAGTACTTAAGATATCGTAACCAGATATGAGTTCTCTTCAACTGGCTATGGCGACTAGGCGCCCACACAACTCACTGTTCGCACTCTGGATCACCCTGGATGTCCCACACGCAACACTCAGTATCATACGCAACACACACACACGCTATGCTACAGCTATGGCAGCGCTAGCTGCCACTACCTAT